TATATTAGCTTAAAAGCAATTTGTCATTTTTAAATATTCAACTCAAACAAACAAACAAAAAAATACCTGGGACATGCCTTGTGGAATTGGTAAATTTGCAGCTTGAGACATCATTGGCTGTGTTAATGATGAACCAACAGACTGGGAATTTATGGACTAGAGCGAAATAAAAAATAATGCTGAAGTGATGCTCATTCCCATACATAGGTAGTTCCACCAGAAATATCAACGTGACATGTTTATCACTGAACTTAACAATCGCCTCATACCTTTACTTGTTGATTACAGGTACGTCTCCCCCTCTACCCTGGAAAGGCCAGTTCCTTATTTATCGATAATCTTTCAAGGAACTTGCTACAGTACCTGGGCACAAGCTCTGGGTAACAGTTGGCTGAACTTAAGTGAAGTAAATTGGTATTTGAACGTAGATACAAAACAGCTCTCAATCAGCTTTTCACAATTAAAAAAAAAAACTATCATTTTACCTGAAAAATCATTAAAAGGACTGATATGTATTATATAATAACCACTTCACAAAAAAAAGAGAAAGATCTTGAATAAATGTCGTATAACAATAACTAAATGTCATATAACAGTAACTATTTTGATCTCTAGAGAGAGAGATAATGAATCAATACATTTCTGAAGATTTAGATAATTTTTTTCCCTTTTAATAAATCTTTATTTAGAAGAATATTCACGCACGAGCTTACCTGACTACTAAATGATGATCTCCTTTGTGCCATCTTTTGATGACCTGGCAAATGCTGTCTGGGAGGAGTGCTGGTATCTGTTGGGATCTTTGTTGGTGTTGCTGAAGTTAGTCACCAAAAACAGAACAGCATTAGTGCTTTATAAAATATAGCTCTCAAAGATGAATCTCAAAATGCATTTCAGTGAATAAAAATGGTTTTGAGTTATTTTTCTAAATCATTCAATGAAAGTGAAGTCCATGACAATAAGATCATTCATTATAATTACTTCTACCATTTTTTAAGGACAAAGAAAATATCTGACATAGGAAAACTTAAAATGTAAAAGTAGTTAATAACTTAATGACAATTATATAAGTCTTCATAAAGGCAAGACACTAAAAAAACTTTCAAAAAGCAAACTTAAGAACACTTACTGGCTCTACAATAAAAAAAGAATACACAGTTTGCTTTCTTTTGGAGGGATGATTAAAAACAATACCAACATTACTACCTACAGATTTTACAGGCTTCTTGATGAACTTAGTTCTTTCTTAAAGGTGAGCAACATGCCTCTTACTCACTGGAAAGGTTAATGCATTTCAGAAATGTAAAAACTTATAATTTTAAAGGAGCATTTGATGAAAAATGCTGATACCAGTAACAAACAATTCAGAAGCACTATCTTTAAAGGAAGTCTGCCTTTCAAGCTAGGGCACTCACAGGAAGGGTCTGAGACTGCCGTGTGAGATGACTTTCTTGAACTCCGAGAGGAGGCAGAAGGGGTTGGGCTGTGATCAAACCTTTCCAATGCTTCCTTGAGACTGACTGTGTTTATACGATTATCAGACCCCGAATCTTGGCTCTACAGAGACAGAGTAAAATAAATGTTTTCTTGTGATTAGTTCAGAAATCTCAAATTAGCAATACTGGTCGCTAACCAAAAAAAAATTCACTTTTTATCCATAACAAGGCAAAAGTATCT